TTTGGTTCATTGAATATGAGGACAACGGATAGAAAAAGCTTTAAACTCACTGGAGGTCCCCAAGATGGTTGGACAGCACATGGTAACACCAATGAACAGATACTCCCTGAGCGCATACTCTGTTTTGCTGGCATGAGATTGGCTTGGTAGGGAGTCTTCAGTTTGGAAGAAAGTTTTTTGGCCACATCTAAAATGTGCAGCCACACATATCTAAAAATCTATGTTAGTGGTGATGCCGGGCGGTTGGACCCGCGCAGAAACAGAGCACCCCTAATAGTGGATTTGTGATCAACTTCAATCCGCCTGCCGTTCGTAGGCAACACAAGGCCCCACATACCAAAAGACCCTGGATCCCCGACTCGGTACCGACTATCTATGCTTTACGGCACAGCCTATTCTAAACTTATTCGTAAGGATCAAAAGGCAGAAAACTTTGTAGCCTATAGACTCATTTACATAAAGGATTGAGTGTTCAAAATGAGTGTAAGCGTGGACCTACCGGCTTGATATGCAAAATCGATCAAATTTAATGGCCAGTCAAACACGCAGCTGGTTGGAGAGAATCAATGCTTTACGGTCGCCGTTTCTTCAGCTACTAAGTATTCGGCCAAAATGTACCAACTTATGTATGCCTAGCCTTTGAAATTTTTGTTACTCTGTGGATACCTCTAGAATGTTGATTGGGCAAGAAGTGAGACATCCGGAGTGGCTACCTGAATTTTGGAAGATGGGACAAGGGTCCACCAATTGTGAGTGAACGGATTGACTATCTATCGTAAATTTCGACAATAGTTTGTGGATTTAAGCTACCCTAGCTCAATAGCTCAATCCTTCGCCGCATGTTCTTGGGATACTAAAAGCTGCCGATACCAAGCTTGCAACAGGGCATTGATTAGAACACATACCGAAGCCTGGAACAGCAGAGTTGCGATTAGCCCCGTGGCGCCATGTACTGGCCAACTTCGCAAAACGAAAAATGGTTCTGCGGCATATTGTTCGTGCAAGGACTGCTTGTTATCGTGCTGAACATGTGAGTTCGAATATTGTTAATATATCATCCCTTACCCCGTAATTAAACCACACTCCAGATACAACCTCGTTCAGTGGCAATCATGGGTCAATCCCAATGCCACTCAGGTCCCCATATCATATCAGGTCCCCATTAACATAGCACTCATCATGTTCGCCGTCGTTTATGAAATATTCCTCGGTCTTGACATGGTACATCATAAGAATATCATCTTGCTTCTAGCCCTTTGCATTAGCAATGGATGTGTACTCGCCTATTCTGTGATGCAGTACATATCTATTCATATGACCACCTTGACTATCGGAGAAGACCGCGACTCTAAAAATCAACCATTGGTGGACTTATCCAGAGACCTGTGGAAAGAAATCCAGCCTGCTGAGCTTCTGGTTCCCATCACTGTCGGTATCGCGACACTCCTCATGTGGCCGATCGCGTATTGGGTTCACAGAGAATTTTCTTGGGCTATATACCAGTATGTTCAGGGGAGCCTTCAGAGTCGAAAACAATATAGAGGATATGAGGTACTTGAGGTCCTGCAGAACTAAATTCATTGGGAACTTGTGATTAACTCTGACAGGCATATCTCGTTCTAATAAAATTCGACTTCTTTTTCCTGGTGGGCTTTATCATTCAGTATGACCTCATTGGTGTCCACTTTAAGGAGCCTGAGTACTCCTTGACTTTAGCACTCATTCCAGCCGCACTGCTGGTGATGACTATGGGCACATATTTTGTCCGACGTGAATACAGAGTCCCCACGGCTATTATTGCAGTTAGTCATGGAACATCAAAGTTACAACGTCCAAATGGCTAACTTGAATAGGTCTGTCGCCTAGGCATTGCGGCCTACCTACTGAGTCGGATCATTGTTCTATGTGGAAAGTCTTTACGCGCCCGTACACCAGGGAAGGATATGATGCTGCTGTTTGGCATTGTAGCATTTGTGCTCTCCTGCCTCATCATTGTATGCACGATATATTGCATACTGAACTTTGAACATGGTCTCAAGTCAGTGTTTGCCCGGAAGGAACAAGTCTCTCGGAGGTCTTTCGTGTTCCAGGAGCTTCCAAGTCACACGAACAGTACTCGACAGTCTAGACTCTCCCTTGACTAACCTGTATATTATATAACCTGGATTTGAGTAATTATTATAACCAAAATTTTCCTTCTTTTGTACGAGTGCGAACATTGGGTATGTATGCTCAGAAAACAACGTCATGTGCCGCGATATATGGCCGTTGATTGGGAGCAGTTGTGATGACAACCTTGACTCAATCAATGAACGAATAGAGCATTCCCTCAGCCCAGCATAATTTCCTTGAAACATTCAATAGCAGCAGTGATATAGAGCGATTTGTCATGACTATGAATGGCCCATAGAAAGGTCATGACAACTGAGGGAAGTGCGCTTCTGTAGGCCAACGCTCCGAAACAATGCCATGTCCAATTGGAATGTTTGTCATTCACTGGGTAATGTTTCGCAACTACTAGTACTAACACTTCTAGGATGACCTCGTTGACTGTTGCTTCTCCGAACAATTGAAATCGCCGGGAGGCTGATCTCGGTAAACGACCCTCATTTAGTGTCGCATTAAGACGCCAACTATGTCAACACAATAACTTCTACATAGGACACTGAAAATGTCCATTCACGTGAATTCCTTATTCAATCATCTACTTTGCGTGGTGAAGTCGTATGAAAGATGAATCCTTCATGCCTGCCACTTTAGGCTGCATGGCTCATGGCGGAGACTACCGTTTGCACGCGTTTGCCAACGCACTGTTTCTTAAATACCTCTTCTCTCTTCCTCGCTCGCTCCCGATCTTCCCCATCGACACCTTCCTAGCTAACAGAATCAAATTCCGATTTCATCACTCGCATTAACGCAATGGGTCCCGAAGAACGTCTCAAGCTGCTTTTTGCGCAGGATGAAGACCTCCTGAAATTGGACACTGGCCGCCGTCCTGCAAACGAAGTTCGGCCCGATGATAACATTGTAGGCCCTCAGGCAGAGCCTACTGAGAACCCGGAAAACAGGCCGTCAGCAACAACTACCCAGCAGACAAGTCAACCCACTCAGATTGTGTCTCTTGAACTCCCTTCTCCACCCGAGCTCCCTACCCCAGTCCCGGCAGATGAACACGTATTCCCCACCAACGGCCAATTTAGCCCCCTTTTGGCTATTGCCAAATACCCCTACAGACATCTGAAAGGATCCTTGAGCCAAGACGTTTCCAGCCGCTTCTTTGACGCGGGTAAATTCTGGAATCGCTCGTGGGATATGTAAGTCGCTCAAATCCATTGCTTTGTACAACTAGATCTGATAAGTGCCAGTTATTTTGTCCACGCACCAGCGTCTCTCGGATCTAGATTCGTGCTTCTCACTCCTACCAATGAAGTTGACTCCTTTTTGGACGAGATAAATCGTGCTCTGAAGTGTGAGTTGTCGCTGCCAACAGACATGTCCGCCGGGCTGGTCTTGTCTTTCAAAGATGGGTATCCTCAGCCTGTCTACCTCGGCCGCAGCACCACGCGTGAGACTAAGGAACAGCTCGAGTTACAAATTAATACTCCATCATCGGAGCACAAGCGTCCTTCTGGGGATACGGATGAGGAATACGCTGCTTTCGAGACCATGATGGAAGCCGCTATCGAGGCCACCCGCAACAAAAAGAAATCTTCTAAGCAGAAACAGTTGATGCGTACGATGAAAGAGCTTGATATGCAGCAGATGGTTCGACGGATGCAGTGCTACTTTGGTTTGCGTTCCATGAATGACATTGAAGGGACAGCAGATATGGTTGACTGGGACACCCCGGGTACAGTGCCCACGGTGCAGCCGCTAGATGCTACCAAGGCAGTACCGTATCCATTCTGGAGAGAGCCCGTATTTATCAGCATCGACGTAGAGTCGAATGAGCGCTGCCATAGCCAGGTGACTGAGGTCGGAGTGTCAGTATTGGACATGCAGAGTCTGGTGGGAATACCGCCGGGCGTGAACGGCGACCAGTGGCGGAGCCGTATCCAGTCCCGGCATCTGCGAGTGAGAGAATACGGCCATATCGTGAACCATGAGTTTGTGTCGGGCTGTCCTGGCATGTTTCAATTTGGAGAGAGCGAATGGGTGCTGCAACGAGATCTGGTGGACGTAGTGCGATCAAGTCTGCGCTTGGACGATGCAATGAATCGTCGGCTCGTACTGGTTGGCCATAACCTTTCAGCAGATGTCAAGTATCTCAAGCAAGTTGGGGTTGACGTGGGAGGGTTTCGTGACCAGATCGACACAGCGCAGATGTTCCGTAAGCTGCGGAAGGAAGAGTCGGTACGGTCGCTGGGAGGCGTGCTGGCGAAACTGGACATAAGGGGCTGGTACTTGCACAATGCCGGGAATGATGCGCGGTACACTATGGAGGCTCTCGTCGCCAGCTTTATGGGAGCGGGTGAAGAAATTTCGACATGAGGGCTTGTACATGCATTGTTAGCCTCTCGTCCTCTCCAGAAGTTTCTTTCCAATATGAAATTACCGGACATCATCTCTTACCTTCTCTAGTGTTCATACTTATCATGAGGAATCATCGACTGCCTGACGACGAAATTTGTAGAATAAGGCATCTGAATAATCGAAAAATGTGAGCTAGTTTCGGTGGGTTCATCGGATATGCCGCATAGGATACGGTGAATGATAATAGTTCGTACTCTCTAACCATCCTTAGCGACCCATAAAGATAATCTACCGCAGTATAGTACTTCGAAGATAGTCTCTAGATACAACAAACCTACTTGAGGTGACCCCACATAACAAGAATAAGACAAGCTCCTGTGGTAAACGTCACATGCTGTTCCTGGACCCTTCCAGTTCCTAAAGAAACCAACCCTAATCTAATCCCTGCCGCCGATCTCCCCCCCTCCACAAGCCCCATACTTACCCCACCCACATCATCATCACCATCATCTTTCCTCAAACCCCTCCTCACAACAAACAACAATTCTCCTACAACTTCCACTTTCACCACCGACCACCTCACAACCACACACACAACCAAAATGACCTCCCTAACAACCCACCTCCTCAACCTCAACCCCTCCGCCCTCCACACCTCAACCGCCCACCCTTTCCTCCACTCCGCCGGCACCTCCACCCTCCCCAAAGCCACCCTCTCAGCCTGGCTCTCACAAGACCGTCTCTACGCGCAATCCTACGTCCGCTTCATCGGTCTCCTCCTCTCGAAAATCCGTCTCCCTTACACAACCACTGCCAGCAGCCCCGCCCCCCTCGAATCCCGCATCCTCTCCCTCCTCACCTCCGCCCTCCTCAACATCCAACGCGAACTCACCTTCTTCGAGACCGTCGCCGCCGAATACAATCTCGACCTGCAAGTACCCCCATCGGGCGCGACCACCTTCGGCCCTAGCGAAGCGACGCACGCATACACAGATTTGTTCCTTTCCTCGGGCTCGAGCGGCGTGACGTTGTTGGAGGGGTTGGTGGTGTTGTGGGCTACGGAAGTGTGTTATTATAAGGCATGGGGGTATGCGAGGGGGGTTATCGAGAAGGAAAATAAGGGTGGAGAGGGAAGTAATGATGCGGATGGCGGTGCTTTGAGAGTGCAGTTTATTCCTAATTGGACGAGTGAGGAGTTTGGACGCTTTGTTGACCAGATTGCGGGGTTGGTGGATGAGGTTGCCGCGGGTGTTGCGGGTAGTGAGAGGGAGGAGTTGCTGGGGAGGTGTGAGCGGTGGTGGAGGCAGGTTGTTTGGCTGGAGGGAATGTTTTGGCCGGAGGTTTGAGGATTGGAATTGGTTCTATGCAAGGTATAAGGTGTATGGTCGAAAAAAAAAAAAAAAAAAAAAAAAAAAAAAAAAAAAAAAGGGAAAAAAAAAAAAAAAAAAAAAAAAAAAAAAAAAAAAAAAGTGTGTCGGGGTTATATGAGCTTGGAATCCGATGGGGATGGATGGATATACTGGATGATAGGATTGATTACTGCAAAAATATGCTATATGGGATCACGATACCGTGATTGAAGGCCGCTTGATCTCGATATGAGTCTCAGTGGGGTTCAGTATCCTCAAAATACTATGCACTCATCGAGTTTGATGATCCCAGTACCATCGGTCCCCCACTTTGAGAGGCAACATTAATGAAGGGAGGTGTGGGCCGCATCAAGGGTATACGATGGGTGTCGATACCTTTTCCATATATAGCTGCATCTTTTAGGAGCCGCTAGCATATCATACTAATAAAATCTGCAAAATCATCAATTTCTTGTTTTAGTAAGTAGCCCCGGTCAATATGGACGGCCATATTGTGGCTCCAAATTAGCCTCCATATCGGGAAAACAGTGGATCAAGACCCTCTAACTAGATCTACTTTAATGATACTGCTTCATTTGCTCTACCATGATAAGATTAAGATCTACAAAGCCAAAACAATGTATTCCAATATCGCATATGCATATTGCATAGAGCTCCTTGACAAGCATATTATTGTACTGTACGGAGCAATTAAACGCAGTGGGTCCGACTCACCGCCCACCACCAACTGAAACTGCCGACAGTAATTCCACTCACCGCATCCAAGATCACCTCCCAAGCAATGCGATAACAGCATCATCCCCCTTCACCATCAACTCAATTCCTCTCAATCTACAACATAAAAAACCAACCTATAACATCAAAATGCCCCCTAAAGCGCCCAAGGGTGAATATATTGAAACAGTACGCCCCATCCCCTCCCCCTTCCCCTTTACCCCAACAACAACAAACAAACAAACAAAACCCCCATACTAACCCACCCTCCCACCACCATAGGATACAGGCAACAAAATCTCCCGCCGGTCCTTAATCCACGGAACCCAACACATCATCCTCGGCGGCAAGACAGTAATCCAAGCGGACGCCGTCATCCGAGGCGACCTCTACCGCTCCTCGTCCTCATCCACATCCACATCCACATCCTCCGACCCCGCCGGCGGCGGCGGCGGCAGTGCACCAAACAGCCCCTCCGTGGCCATCACAATAGGCCGATACAGTTACATCTCGCGACAAGCGATCCTGCGACCGCCGTCGCGACTACACCGGGGTGTGTATTCGTTCTATCCGCTCAAGATCGGGGATCATGTGTTTGTGGGCGAGCGGGCGGTAGTGGAGGCGGCGACGGTGGGGAATCATGTGCATATTGGGAAGGATGCGGTGGTGGGGAGTATGGCTATCTTGAAGGATTTCGTGTATGTGTTGGATGGGGCGGTGGTGCCGGGGGGCATGGTGGTGCCGAGTTGGTGTGTTGTCGGGGGTGCGCCGGCGAGGATTGTGGGTGAGGTTGGGGAGGGGTATGGGGTTGAGGGGGCCGAGGGGGGGTTGGCGAGGGAGAGGTATAGGTTGGTTGGGAGGTGATTGCTTAATTTTTGGATGTGTCATTGATGATGGTTATGATTGGTTTGTGTTCGGGTTTACTGTTTTAGTACTATACCCCCTTGGTCTAGTTTATTTTATTTTATTTATGAACTCTGTGCGCGCGCGATATATCGAAAAAGAACAACAATCTAGATACATAGTTCATATTGTCTGGCTCGTTGGTCGTTGGCCAAAGTTACAGTGAGATCCGTCTAAGCCGACTCTCTTTGCTGGTGTATTCTAGGCCTGCTTCGGTGCGCGCCATGTCGTTGATCCACTGCTTGTGCGGTTTGACTTCCTCTTTCTTGGAGAGCTTGGATGAAAGGTACAGCCAGTTCAGGGCGTTTCCGACTGTGCTGACCTCGTCGCAGACGTTCTCAAGCGCAAATTTCTTGGTCCGCTCGTATAGATCGTCGTCAGTGCACAATTCGAATAGGTGTTGTGCAACTGCATCTGTGTCGCCAACTTCCACAAGGAAACCGTTCTTCTTATCTGCCACTTGCAGTGGGATTCCGCCAGCCTTGGTTGCGATCACTGGGGTACCCTTGTGGATTGCCTCGGATACCTTGACTTCGAACCCTTCACGTGTGGACAGCTGCAGAGCGACCTTGGCCTTGGAAAGGAGTGCGTTAAGCACCTGATCCGAAGGTCCAAGTCGGACAACGCAGATCTTGTCAGATAGGTCTGGGAGATCTTTCTCAATGTGAGCTAGCACGGAATCGTAGATCACAGTGCCATCTGGGTCGTCAACGGAGCCGTGCCCACAAATAAGCAGTTTGGGCGGCGTTCTGTCGGGTAGAGATGAGGTGAACCGTCTATGGAACTTCGCATATGAATCTACAACGTCAAAGATACCCTTGGAAGGGTCGAATCGGGCAATTTGAACAATGTACTCGTCTGCTAAGTGGTTAGCGCTCTCGCAATAACAGAAGCACATGCATGTGTGACTTTAGAATCGACCTCACCATGTGGATAGTTTAGCGTCATCATTCCTGAATTTCTGCAAACAGAATTGAAGACACGGCCGTAATAGGCGACATCCTCTTCACGCATGTTTTTATTAAGACCATCCAACCTAACTCGGAATGTCAGCTGGATATATCATGCAGATATCTCTTGGAACTAACCAATCAGTTGAAGCAGGCATATAGCCCACCATCTCGTCTGGAACATCTTTCGGCACGAAGATGCTCACAGGGTGACTGATAAACAGATCTGCCTGCTGCACCTGTTTCCAGATCCACGACCAGGTGTCTGCCTGTGGGGAGCCAGGTTGATCGATCAGGTCACTGCGGATTTGGATATGGCTTCGGAAAATGACCGGTCGGTTAGGTGCTAGCTTCTTCGCAATGGGGATCAATGCGGGCATTTGCGGATCGTCGATGATGATAACGTCGGCTCCTCCCTCCTCAGGAGGCCGCAGAGGACCGCCGGGTGAGAGCCAGTATCGTTTCGCGTTCTCGTTGATCCAATCAATAACCTTTTCCCAGTCCTCATTGCTCAGGCGCTCATCTGGAGCAGCGACGCCTTGCAGAATATTATGATTGTTCTTGGTTATGCGAAAAACTCCAGGCCGCGGTTTGGGGACATACCTAATTTGAGGATCTATTAGATACTCGACATCAAACGCTATATGGATGAAAGACTTACCACTTGATGTCAGTTCCCAATGAGTAGGAGAATCTGGCGAGGGCGTGTCTCATGAGGGCTACCCCTCCGCCCTGAGGAGTGGCACTAAAGAAGGCAATCTTTGTGCCTCTGTTCTTGAGATCGTCGGCATAGTAATTAACTGCATCCCATGTCCTCTGTGTGACTGTCTTCTGGAAGTCCTCCAGGTTTGTAAGGCGCACATGGAAGGCAGTGTCAACTTCAACTAATCCCAAGAAACCGACTTGCAACAACGGAATGTTTTCAGGGCCAAACAACCTTGAGTGTTGTAAGCACATGCACACTGCTTTAAGCTGGGCAAGACATACCTGACACACTTGCGTCCCATGGACTCGGCCTGTTCATCGATGCTCTTAAGCTCCCAGCCAGTAGACTTCCGGACAGGATGATCAACGTAGTGATCAACTCCGATATTACTCTCCTCGGGCAGAACCAAGGGAATCACATCCAGCTCCGACCAGAGACGTGAGCATAGGGTGGAGCATTTCCGAGCCACTGAAGTTGGCATTGCCAGCCCGATAAACTTCTCCAGGCGTTCGTCACTGTACTCCCGCAACTGGTTCAGCACATAGTCGGTAATTTCAGCACAGACGGTCCGGCCACCCTGTGGAACGATGTCCTTCTGATGGAAATCGAGAAGATAGGTCGTATCGCGAATCGCAAGGGCTACAGTGACTCCATCGTCATCGAACAGTACTGAGAGACCAGCATAGATAGTCTAATGGAATGCCATCGGTTAGAGATGTCATGGGGTATTCAGGCAAAAGAGAACTTTACCTTTGATGGAGGGGCTTCCCAGGAGTTCCTGTCAAACTGATGCGAGAGCTGCAGCTGATGAAAGGATGAACGGCGCTGGAACGGCTGGATACCGTCAGTGGTCATGTCAGGCAATGATGATTGAGAACTATAGATCGAGTACAGTGTCTAGGGGATTCAATAATGTGATTAGACTGCTACTCAAGGATTTGAGAAAAAAGGAACTGTTTCCTATAAATCTCAATGAAGGGACTTCAGGTTCGGTCGCCGGTCCGGGGTTTGTCAGACCATGGGTGGTGGTGGGATGACTTCACCAGTCCATGGCGTGTGCTACCACTTCGCCATGACGTATTGCAAACAGCATACGATTTACTCCGGCGGCAGTGAGAATCCGCCTTTTTGACCAGGATCATTGAAGAATAATTGGCCATGAAGAACTGCAGGTGGATCAGGAGATGTTTGGTAGCTTGTAGGTTCCTTTCTCCCAAAGCATATCAAGGTACCACGAGGCATAACCATCACCACTCGATATGGATGGTGTTGATCGTCGGGAGCGGGGACTTCCGATAGGTACTACACAAGATAGCGAGTGCGCTAAATCTGCAGAACGTACTTCTGCTTGGTTGTGACTTGTGAGATCAAGGCTAAGTTCATGGCACAGGCCACGCTAAGGATAAAAAAAGTCCGTCGCCAAGGAGTCGGACGACTCGCTTCTATTGACAATGATAATTTGACTGCTAGGCGCATCTACAATATATCGCAAAAGGTCCTCTTGATCGGGAATAACTGGGTCCGAGTGGAGTCCTCCATTAGTAGTTCTGCTACAGGCAGGTGCTTGTGTGTGCCTGAGGATACGCTGCAAATACTGAAACCACCGATTGCTTGGCGCGGGGCGCTTAGTCATGGGCAGCCCCTTTTACGGAGCGCTCGAGCAGACGAGCGGGAGAGCGAGAGCGAGAGAGAGAGAGGCGCTCCTCGTGTGGATCGTGAACCCTGAAATTCTTATTGCTGCTGTTCGATCAATCGTTGTGCAATTTGACTTTCGACCCTGCTGGACCGACACTCTCTTCTCTCTGCTTCAACGTGCGTCGTTATCGCCCCTTCTTTACATAAGGTAAGTTCCATATGTCTTGTTTACCTTGCGTCTGCGAACGCATGGTCCATTATGGAGACGTCGCCCTGTTGACGCGGATCGCTAGCACGGGGTAATTGACCTTACGTTTAGTTTTCGTTGTCCTCTTTCTCCCACGGCCCCCTACTCGACCAATCGGTCCACCATCTAGAATCCCGATTCCTCACTGCAATTGCATTGCATCGGAGACGCTCTCTGGCGCTCGTTGAATCTCCGCAGGCTCAGTCGCTCCTTTATCCTATCAACAGTCGGCGGTCTTCAGGAGACGCCTCCTTTAGTCACAATGGGTGGTCAAGTGTCCAAGATTATGGGGAAGATCTTCGGTACGAAGGAGATGCGGATTTTGATGCTGGGTTTGGATGCTGCTGGAAAGACCAGTAAGTTTGCTCCTCGACTCTGCGTCGACTCATTGACCATGGCTATGTGGAAACTAACACAGTGCGTTAGCAATTCTCTACAAATTGAAGCTCACCAATCAGGACGTCACCACTATCCCTACCGTCGGTTTTAACGTTGAAAGCGTCACCTACAAGAATGTCAAGTTCAATGTTTGGGATGTTGGTGGACAGGACAAGATCAGACCCCTCTGGAGACACTACTACTCTGGTAAGTTTTCACTTGTCGCGTGTTTTCAGCGGATCGTGGGGCAGTTGGCTGACATTGGGTGAACTCTTCAGGTACACAAGGATTGATTTTCGTCGTGGACTCCAGCGACACTGCTCGTTTGGAGGAAGCTCGCTCCGAACTTCACAAGATTATCAACGATCGCGAAATGAAGGATGCTCTTCTGCTGGTCTTTGCCAACAAGCAGGATGTTCAAGGCCGTAAGTTCCCGCATTGTTATGGTGGGAAACGATGTCGCGACTGACCAGGATTCTTCTTGCAGACATGAGCCCCGAGGAAGTTACTCAAGCGCTACAGCTCACCAAGTTGAAGGATAAGCTGTGGTACGTTGCTCCAAGTGTCGCAACGGAGGGAACTGGTATCTTTGAGGGCCTGGTAAGTTAAACGCCCCCTCATCGGCAATGCTCAGCCATCTAACGCTCAACTTTCTCAGGCATGGCTCTCCAACAACGTCAAGACGCAACCTCAGAAATAAAACAGCCGCCGGCCACGACCTGAGCCGCAAAACTTGGAGGCCATCTGCACGGCCTCTCGTGTACAACAGTTTCCTTTGTACCAACTGAACCATCAGAACACCTCTCGTTTCACGTTCGATTTGATGACAGAAGACGCAGCATTTGGATCCTGTGTTTGCAATATTTTCTTTCACGCGCACGCCGTTCCGCTTTTCCTTTCTCCTTTATTTTCATGATATCCCCACTGTTTCGATGCGGGTCATTTCGAATACCGTCTCTTAATACTATTTTCCTATTTTCCTTTCTCTGTTGTCTTCTTTTTTTCCCCCCCCCCCCCCCCCCCCTTCTCGTGTGTAGAAACATTCAAAATAGAAGGAACTTGGACCAGCACATACCTGCATACATATACTCCCTTTAATATTTCTTTTCTTTTCATCCTCTCCTCGCATTTATCTATTTATTTATATCCCAGTTGTATTTTCCCCGGCTCGGTTGTTGATAATATTCTTTAGATACTACCAAACCCCAAAAAATCCACACTTTATGAATAAACGATGAAACAAAAAAGATAAAAGGGAACCCAAACCAAAACAAACAAACAAAGATCATATGTTCCACCAACGTCATTGACTCATGACAACCCCGTAACCATAAACTCCTAAGGCCTCGGAAAATCCTCCTCCAGACACATGGAACGGAAAGCTCGTCCCACCAGTCACACACTCCTCCCGGTCATCGGATATATTATATATAAGCAAAACCCAATCTTGCATAAATCAATTAGATAGAAGTAGGGGATGTTGATGTATTGATAAATAAGCTCCGAGCACATGCACAACTCTCGACTTACCCGCCCTATCCATGGGTAATAAATGTGGCTGACTCCCAAGTTCGTCGTCAGATAGCATCAATCTGACACCAGTGGCTCTGGGAAGGAAAAGTTAAACTTGTACTTAAATACACGACACAACACCACGTAGTTGTTTTGCTGGATAGATTGGTTACTTGTATGTTATCTGCAACCAAACACACATACACACACTACAAGACTTACCACAAAGCCTTTCTTGATTAGAAATACTTATCTTGAGAATGCCCGACTACGCAACAGGTGATACGGTTCGCTATAAGCCTATTGGCGGTGAGTTACTACTACTACTACTACACTCTTCTTCTCGTGACCGGCTGCTCTTTTCAGCAGGAAAAGATAAGATAAAGAGAGACTAACAAGGGAATACTCGATACGCAGGACCTGATTCCAAGACCGCCGAAGCAATCGGCATCATCCGGGACGTCCGCACGCATTCTGGTACCATGACGGGGCGGAAGATCGAAGCGTCGGATGAGATGCCGCGGTATGAGGTGCGTGTATATTGATACGGATGGATGTGGTATGGTAAGCAGTAATGCTGATCATGGGGTCCGGGGTGGTAGATCGAGAACGCTCATACACATAAACGAGCGGCGATCAAGGAGAGTAGTATTCTTGGACCGGCGGAGTGAAAGGGTCCATGACGTTATCTAGTGATGCGCGGGGGCAGTCCTTGTTTAGGGGTAGTAATCTATATTTAATAATGTTTTCAAGGTAAACGGCAAGATGAGAGATAGTTAATGGTTGATAACAAAGTGATCTGCCTTCATTAGCTTCTTGGGTGGGACGTCGTGCTTGCAGTGACTCCAAGGTACTCAGTTTGTCGAACTACATAATGGCACATGTGTCCAGGTGTATGGTATGGTATTTGAGAAAGTGAAAAAAAACAATCGTGGATTTTTCTAAAACTATACATCCGATCCATATGTTAAATAACTGGTATCCTAAACGCTAAAGTCGTCACATTCATTCATACTCCCTTTCGTTGTTGAATCGACAGGAGTTTATGTCGCGGCCATTCACGACGGGTATATTTACAGCTGGCCGGGCCAGATATCGTTGGCGATCTCGCGCACAAGCTTCAGCTTGGCGATCATACCATCGCGGTCAATGGCGTTACCCTCACGGTGACTGGCAAAGCCACACTGGGGGCTGACGCCGACCTGGTTGAGGGCTTCCTCAAGAGAGATGTTGTTGCCCTCAGCGATGAACTTGGCAGCGTCATAGACACGCTTCTTCATCTCCTCCTTGTCCTCGAGGGCAGCGAACTTGCTGGTAACGACACCCAGGATGACGTTCTTGTGGGTAGGGAGCTCCTTCAGGGGCTCGAAGCCACCAGCACGAGGGGTGTCATACTCGAGGTAGTAGGTGTCAACGTTGAGCTCCTTGAAGAGCTTGGTGGCAATGCGGTCGTAGCCACCCTCGGAGAAGTGACGGCTGCCAACGAAGTTACCACGGCAAAGGTGCACACCGATGTGCATATCGGCAGGGCGCTTAGAAATGCTGTCGTTGTACAGCTTAATGTACTGCTCGAAGGTCTCATCCGCGGAGCGAACGTTCAGAGGGTCCTCTTTCCAGCCAGCAAGCATCTTCTCAGAGCAGAAGTCTGCAGTTTGAGTCAGCGTGTTATCCTCGTGGATAGATATACAGACATGATGGACTCACAAGCAAGGTTGGGGTCGTCGAACTGGACGTTCCTGCAGCCAACATCATACAGCTCCTGCAGCTCAGCCTGAACCGCCTTGGCGATGTCACCGAAGTACTCCTCGTCGGAGCTGTACACCTCCTTGGGGTAAGCCTTGCCCTCCTTGTACCGCAAGTGGTACCAGTTAGGAGCAGCAAGGGTGATCTTGAGGTTCTTGACCTCCTCGGGAGGAACAACGCTGGCCAGGTACTTGAACTCCTTGGTGTAAGTGCTGCCGACGTGCTTGATCTTGCCGGTGCAGATAACGGTCTCACCAGGCTTGTGACCAGCCTCGAGGAACGCGGCAACATCGGGGGCGTAGGGGCGGAAGACATCAGCATCGACATCACTGACCTCCTCGAATCCCTCAAGTCCAGGGAAGAAGGAACCCCAGAACACTGTCGCGGTCAACATGTCAGCAAAAAGTCCCTATGATTAGGCGCGACGTCTGAGGGGCTAGCTTACTGTGACGGCGGTACTCTCCGTCGGAGATGGCGGCATAACCCAACTTCTTCTGGGTCTCCGCGACCTCCTTCACATCCTTGTTCTCGATAGCATCGAGCTGAGCCTCAGAAACCTCGCCATTCTCGAAAGCGGTCTTGGTCTTGAGGAGCTCCTCCGTCCGGAGGAGAGAGCCGAGGTGCTCAGCGCGGAAAGGAGGGTTACGGTGGAGTTGAGGGGCCATGATGATTGAAAGTGCTTGAGTGTTCTGTCCAGAAATCAGTTAGAGAATCCAGTGGCAACCAACTTTTCATGGATTCACGGAAGAAACATACCTGGTCTGGTGACAGAATGGAGAGAAGAAGACAACAGCCGACTCGAGTCAAGAAGAAGGAAGAAATGGGGGGCAAGAGACCCCCTCATTTCTCAGCAAGCGAGTTCTCCGAGTCTTGTCCATGTTCTTCTCCGGTCTGTTCTTGCCCCACCGCTCTGGACAGTGACCCCAAATTCTGGGACCGATTTCGCAGGCCCAAGACGAGAGACAGAAAGATAATTCAAGCAAATTCTTGCGATCTTGCGCGCCCCTTAAGTACTACTTGTTACGACTACCTTCCCTCGAAGACCTAAACACACCGAGTAATTCCATGACTTTCAATGTCTTCTGGCATCTGGGACAGCTTTCGACGTAGGATTGAGCCAGAAGTACTATGGTAAATCCAGGAAGGCGGAAAGAAGATCGGCAAGGAAGCCTCCGGTGGGGCCAATGTATAAGTACTGACTCAGCAATCAATTTTATCTGGGGTTCTTTCTGTTCTGGGCTGGCTGCAGATGCCTAAAGCAAGAAATAATAATTCTACAATGGCCTGAATTGATTCCTTATCCCCCCATTATGATTATATCATTGCACCGTGAATAGTACACTGTTGCCGGGTGGCTGCGATGTTGTCGAGTGTCAGAACAAGCCAGTGCAGGAGTTGCGGGGAGAGACTAATGCAGCTCCACATTCATACAGCAAAGGCGTTCCTATAAAGTTGGTGTGATTCCAAAGCTATACAGAGTATGTCGTGTCGAGTCTGGCTTAAAATGAGTAGTATACGTAAATTTGGCGCGTGTAAAGTGCGACCACAGGTCACAGTAGTCCTGCTATCTGTGTAAACGCCAATTTAGTCTGTCAAAGCATTCTGTCACGGTTTTCCTGCTTATGGAGCCATCTTCGCCATTTGACTATCACGTGAATTGAATGTGGGGTCCCCCGGCAATTGACAACCAGCATTCTTCCCGAAACCACCACGCCATAACTCCTTTCTGGAAAGTACATCGCTGTGGGCTGGCATTTATGTCCAATTCATTGGTTTTCTATACTTGATTTGAAGCTCATAGTCTCCGCAATGTGAGGCATTCGGACGAAAACTTTATCTCAGATTACTGGAACAATGTCTTTACCACATTCGCCCTTGGAAAGCCTTCCGAATGAGCTTTTGGATCAGATCATCTCCGAACTCTCGGCTTCCCCTCCTTCTCGGTCCAGGGTGCACAAGCCTCCTTGTATGCGTATTACTACATCTAGAACTAGGGATTTGAAGAATCTTGCACGCACCTCCTCCCGACTCCTGGAGCTGGTGCGCCCCCACCTTTTCGCTCACGCATGCTTCGATATCAAAGATGTAGCGGACTTTGTCTCATTTATAACGAGTTTAGATCTTGGTCGATATGTAATATCGATTGTGGCCAAGGGGATGGATTCTCCCGATCATCGAGAGGATCCCTATTGGTGGCGTCCAGTACTCGATAGTCTCGATCCGTTACGGATCATTGTGATTGCACCTCCCCCATTTCTGGCCGCCATGCTTGACACACGGATCATGGACGGACATAGCTGGGCATTCGAGGTTCCTTTCCAGGTTCTACAATTGGAACAGAACTCGCGGGTCTGCAGGCCTCCTCTACTATCAGAGACAAAGCATCCAGCCCGTCTGCTTGAGACTCGGGTATGGTCTTCCTTTGCCTTCAATGAGTCGTCCTCGCTCAGGGCGTACAATCACTATGAGTATTTCATGTTCCAGGTTCCTTCCCTATTCAATAAGTGGGGAACAGTGGCATCCACACAACTGTTCTCCGAGAGGCTGGACCTTTCCCGCTCATTGAAATCCTTCACGTCGTTCAACTATACGGCAGTGTTTCCGTTCTATAATCATGTCAAATTAGTCTTGGATGCCATTGAATTGATGACCAACCTACGTTCATTGAGCATCCAACTTGCCCCGTCTCCGAATGATAAGATTACGGAGATGGAACAGAGAGGCTCCATGGACCCCAGTGACCCATGGATGGAGATTGCTACTGGATATTCACTTATTGCGCACACTGTCAGGAAAATGGGGGCGTTAGATAGTCTCGTGGAATTCCGTACGCCGGATTACGAGTTTGATGCTCTGCGTTCAGAACTATCTACCATCCTAGGGGACGTGTTGGACAGCAGCGGATGGGTACATGATGGAAGAGGAACTTGGACAAAAGTACCTTCGAACGGCGAAGATGATCGGTTGGGTTCTCCTACGACGACGGTAGGTAACGCTCTCTGATATGCTACAGTAATGAGCGCACACTTGAAAATATTCTGCATGAATTACGCTCCAAGAGTTTGTAAGTAAATTTGTGATGCGCCTGTACATAATTACCCTCTATACTTATTTCCATAACTTCCACATGTCTGAGTCAATTTACGGCTTGCATATTAGCATATAGAACAATTTAGAGTGAGTAGTACTTATACTGCAACTTCATTGTGCATACTGAGACACATAATATACGTCATTATCACGTGATAGCACATCAACTACTAATGATTGAGTGGGCATGCGGGCACACTTGATGGTTATTCGATTATTTCAATTACTAGGTATAATTTTTTCCAATTAAGTAGCCAATATAGTGCAAGCCCCTATCAGATATGAGACGATTTTTGGAAGGGTTACAGGGTGCATTCTATATAAGAGCGACGAGCTGGGCTTTACAATATCCGGCACAACATTCGTTCGCGAAACCCAGATCTACTCCACACCTTGTATACATCTCAACTTACGACTACATTTAAACCACTTAACAAATTCGGTCCGTATCTATGATAACAACAACAAACAGAGTGAAATATAGCTCTCCCTTCTAAACTACTACATATCCTCAGCATAATCTGACAGAAGGCATCCCTATACACGGACGCGTTGCAGAGCTACGCGTTTTTCCCACCGTTCAGTCCGGTGAAGAACATCATGTCCATCAACGCTTATATTGGCGATGCTGAGCCAGCGCCACCAATTTTAGCTCATACTATGCTGCAGTCTGGTCCATCAGCAGAGAACAAACACAAACAAGATCAACAACACTCCGCGGAACAAAGCTGGAACATTTCACATGACGTGCAAAAGGGACTTCAAGATAGTCCAGACAGCGTTTTCAGAAGTGGCATAGTCATTGGCTTCTCCAGGCTCAGAGACGCACACAAGGAGACGAGTGATGAGGATGAGTACATCGGAAGAGTATGTCTACCTTCTCCATAGACAACCTCCCTGCTATGCCATTATGCATAAACTTGTTAAGCCATATCTACCACCCCCAATAATCATTTATACTACATCTCCTTACCACAAACCCCAACTCCCCATATAAGAACATACATAATTAACAACCTCCCAGCTCCCCCGACACCTCCTCACAACCCACCTACTACACCAACACCAACACGACACCCACCAACCCAAAACCTACATAATCCACCCGGCCAACTTCAGCGCCTTCACCCCCCAACGCCTCCTCACGTCCCTCCTCAACAAACAACAACTCCCACTATCGCGAACCCAAGCAATAACCCTTCTGGACTCCGTCCAACTCTTTCCCGTCTACGACTTCAACGCAGCCGCACAAGCCATCCACGAAATCGCATTGACCATATCTTCAGCATCAAGAGAAACAACACCACATCAACAACATATCATAATAATCACCGGCCTGGATACCCTAACCGAGGGCGTAATCCGAGCTTCGAACCCCCTGCGCGGATCAGCTATGCTCACGTCTGTATTACGGACACTAACGCAGTTGACGCGAACGCATGGGTCGAATCTCTCGGTGATGTTGGTGAATACTAGTGGATTGGGGAAGGTGGTGTCGTCTCAGAGTGGGGGAGTGGGGGTAGAAGTAGATACTAACGCTACGGGGGGAGTGTATGAAATGGATGATGGCGAGGGGATCCAGTCTGCGTTCCGTGCGCATAGTGGTGAGATGTTTCCGAGCCTGTTGATGAGGACGCTGGATCAGGGGATTGATTCGCATCTGTTGGTGTCGAGTATTGGGAGGGTTCCGGTTGTGGAGGTTATTAAGGATAGGGTGGGTGGGAATGTTGGGAGGTGGTGTGTTTGGGAGGGGGAGGTTTGATTGAACATGAATGGCTGGGTTTGTAATTCGATGTGTGAGGTTTGATAGTTGCTATGCGCTGCAGGGCGTGCATGCCCTGATGTATGATATTGCGATTGCGACCTATGTAGATAGTAGAATTTCCTGCTTACTCCGTTTGAATATTTCATTCCACTTGGAAATCTCAAACAAACATGAACCCTTGACACCGTCTATCATGCAAATAATATGCACCAGTTCCAACTTTTCCCCCTTAGCAGACCAAAATTGCCTTTCCGCGCTGACTAACTCCAGTTGTGAATGATGCTTTTTTCTCCAGATAAATAAATAATAATGATGATCATTATGAATGGGGGTATCAACCAAATCAAGTCAATTGTCAAACGCGACAAAGGAGAGATAGGAAGCGTCTGTATGTAATGTATGAGAGGGGAATGCTGGGACGAAAGACAAGCCACGCTGGTTTGATGCCTGCCGTAGTAATATTACATCACTGGCCACCAATTTGCGCATTGTCTGATTCGGCCCACATCCTAAGAACGGCCCTCTCAACGACATTCTTCGCTTCTTTTTCGCATTTGCTAAGATCCAAAGCGAGGGTATTTTCCTCGAATACAGCATCTTGCTGTTGGACCTTGAGCCATTGTTTATGCCTCTCACAACGCTTCTTAGTACAGACTCCACGTGAGAGTTTCTCGAAGTCGTCTTCGTTGTCGTCATCCATGGCGGTGTCGCCGTCGGCGTCCGTAGCAGCTTCGGGATAACTTGATGCCAGGGCTTCGGGCGAGCCATCCTCGAGTGCTTTCGCGCCGATTTCGGATAACCGCCATTCGTCGAATTCTTCGTCCGACCATGCGAGTCTGCTGTCGAACCCGCAGATGTCTTTCCAACCACCCTTTGGGTCGGTTTGTTTTAGATGCTCCAAAATACTCTTGGATCGCTGGCGCACCAGTGTCATGAATGTGTTTCGGGCGCGGAGCATCTCTTTGCGATGGAGAAGGTCGTCCCGTTGCTTGCGGATCTTTTGTAGTTTGGATGCTTCGTCGGGAGTGTATGTGAGCCAGTCTACGTCGAAGTCCAGACCGATCTTCTTTCCCTCCTTGGTCTCGGCTTCCGGATCCGTGGTGGTAGTGGCGGTATTTTTGCTTTCCTCTTCGGCGGGAAGCGATATGATGCTTTCGCCTAGTTTGCGGAATTCTTTGGCGGAGCTGACGCCCATTACGACGGCTTTGAGATCGCCTGTTGTAAGGACTCCACCTCGGCTTCCTAGATCGTCCGGGTCTCGTCTGTCTGGCGTAGCGGTCCCATCACGGCTATTGCTTCCGCTCGAATTAATGCCATTGGTGGCTGCTCGGCCTGCTGCATTTGTTTTTGCTTTCAGTCCCGTACCCAGGAGAAGCTTGGTTCGCTGAAGCATGAACTCCCGGCCATGTTCGTCTGAACAGTATTTGCTGGGGATTTTCTGGTTGACTCGGGCGGGCTTGCGGCATTCTTTTAGCCGGCACATAGGTTTCCATGTAGTCCATCCTTTGCCTTGCTCCTTGCAATTCGGGCCTGCAGAGTGTTAGTGCACGGGCATACATTATGTGTGTAATGCCGGAGAAATGTCTTACAGATGTACTTGTCAATGAGGTCTGCATCTCTCGGATCGATGTTGACGCATTTCCCGTGAAACCAATCCTCACATCCACCATCGCATCCAATCATCCACGTATGATTGTCAGGTTTGCGGCAGATGCAAAATATTTCATCGTTATCATCAGAGTCATCTTCTTCCTCTTCTTCTATATCATCTTGCTCAACGTTCTTGCTGCCTTTCCTTCTACTATCTGGGGCGGGTGAGTTGGTGTGCGAGGTGGAATTCCGCTTTTTGGTTGCGGGCTTGCCAGCACGAATCGAAGACGGAGTGTTGGAGCGACCGCCATCAACAATATCGCTGTCCAATTCGTTGGCTTTCCTCTTTTTGGTCGTTGACTTTCGCCCAGTCCCTTTCTTGGTTGCAGCAGTAGCAGACTTCCGGGCCGGGCCAGGTTTCGTAGATGTGGCTGGCGAGGAGCGGTCAGAAGACGACGCTCTTGAGGATCCCCTATTCTTGAGACTCGCAATGTTTTTTGGAGTGAGGTGGTCCGCAGTCGGGCCGTCAAGTGAAGAAACCGGTGGCTTGGATTCCGACTCTTCGTTAAGGGGAACTTTATCCAAATTCGTGTTGAGGGGTTCGGTCTTGACAAGAGGGATTGGTGTGTCTTGCTTGCTCGCGGATCTAACTACTCCTGCGGCATCAAGTCCTTCATAGAGGTCAGACCACGCTCGCAGATTAGTAGATTTGTCTCCATGTATGGCAGATGCCACCAGTATCCTAAAGCGTCGATGTATCTCATCTGCCCTTTCAAAGCCAAAGTACCCGCTCTGTCGCCAACCAGTTATCCCGATCACCTTATCATCGCTGATAACAACGTTCGACGGTACCAGGTTGTTGTGGACCAAACAGATATGTTCGTCCTCCTTCCTTTCACGAAACAGTATATTCTTCTCTGGTTCCAGGGCATCGGGTGACGCTTGTGAGTTGAGTCCACTGCAAACGTACGAAGGACGGTCGGGGGGTGCATCTATCCCGCCAAGGCGCTGCGATATGCGACGGCACTGCTGCTTGAACATGTCAATCTGCTCAGCTGTGAGGTATCTCCAGGCTACCTCGAGAGTAACTCCAGGGATTCTAGATTCCACAGTGACATTTTTCCCATCTATTGTCCCGCAAAAGAATATGACCGGCACAGTGATGGACATCTCCTTGAGCGTATCCTCAGCCTTCCTTGCGGCACTCAGTTCATTGGCGTTGGCACACGAGTACTTTTCAGCAGCGGCGCCAGTTGAAGGTTCACGATCAACGCGAATGACAACGCTGCCAGCAGCGAAGACCTCCCGGTTCCCCGAGACATTCAGAGAATTCTCTGCCGTACAGAGCTCTTTCACAATGCCTTCCCAATATGAAGTGACCTCTGGATCCGGTTCGCACCACTGGTTGTATCGAGGTTTGAAGTCAGATTCGCGAGGCGCGTAGCGGCCATAATGCACACTCCGGGCGAGGAATAGGTCATCGTTGGGGAGGAGCTCGGGGTTTGTTTCGTATGGGTTTGTCGACCCTTGATTGGTGACGCGACCATCCACCTGAGTTTGATCACCAGGCGCTTGCGTAGCTCCGGCCATCACTCCGACTCTTCCAGCGACCTTCTAAGGTCCAAGCGCGCCCCTTCTGTGGGTAGCCAGCGTGTGAGTGCTCGGGCACAAAATCCTAGGGATATGTTGGCCTTCAAGATCCCGCAGACTGGCGATTCTGCAGACTGGCAACCTAGACGAAGAGTATGGTTCCGGTCGCATACAATTTCATACTATTAGTTTTGGAATGTGAGTCGGTAGCTTCCACAAGCCGAAAATGGAAAGGCGACCGACGGGGAAGTCTTCTTTGCTGATTATCGATCGGTCGTAAAAGTCGCAATTGCGGCGGAGGTCGGAGAAAGATGCGAAACGGAGTGGGATGCGATCCCAAGTGAGTGTCTCTGTAAGTAGCGACTTCGCGTCAGAATCCTAGATCTGTAATTAAAAGATTCTAGTGAATGATGAGTCTTTCCCCCAGTAGCTGGCTAGCGCAATAACTTCAAAGCTTTCAGTAAATATTCAAGCTGGGGGAAGCGCGCTCGGCGACGCGGAGATGGAATTCGGAGAGGATTTGGCAGCTTCTGCGTCGGATTTACGGCCAAGGCGGTGAGTGTTAACTCCGTCGAGTCTCCAAAACACTGCCTATCACACGACAGATTACTACTATCCTTTGGGACATAGAAGAGAATTCTCGGAAGAATGATGCTGTGATGACCTTCTATTCTCCCTCTGCAGCACTATTGAAAGCCGTAAGTCCAGAGTTCAAGGCCTGTGCTCCAAACCATTGCAGTGATGGGCGGCAGATACTTGCTTGCCATTCTTCTCATTCTGGAAAGTCAAGGTTCATGACAGAGCCAAAAGAGGAAGCAGCAAAGCACGGCGACAGTGTTCTTACTCCACACACAACAATAGGAAAGAGCGGTGCTGGTAGTGAAGGGGAATGTCAATTATGAAGCCTGTTCGCATGACGGTATCTGTATCGCATGACTATAATGACCGCCTATGTTCCGCTGATATGTAATTACTATAATTCACTTTTACTACTACTGTTACTACAATGGTGGTTAATTGACACTCAGAGACGCTATTCCAGCATCCCATTGATCAATTCAATGTACAGCTAGGCAAGAGGACGCTCATTCAAGGCCATCCTCCTTAAATATTGACCCTCAATCCCTGATCATTCCTTTTGTACGATATACTTGCAGAGCATCAAAATCACCGCCATCACCGCCTACCACTATCAATAATCACATACTACTTTTCATCATGGGGCCTTGTAAATGGCAAGACGAAAAACTATTTCTACAGTGTGCTTGCCCCGAGGGGTCCTGCGCTTCGCGTCTTGCGGACATGAACAATCTAATACAATGTGAAAAATGCTCGCATCCGATGAGCCTCCACCAAGATTACTGTTCGTTTCTTACACTCGTGATGTTCCTCAGCTAATCTTGCGACATAGCTACTTCCTCCGAATTCCCACCGTCACAGATAACTGCACCTATAGGTATATAGTTTGCTTCAACCCGACTTGGCAAGATCATTGCTAATCATCACAGATGTCGGATCACATATCGTTCACCGGGATGGGTTGATCACGGAGCTCATTGCTCGACTGAAAGCATTTCATATTGTTCGAGTGAGGGGGACTCCTGCTTCGGGTAAGACAACCATCGTGAATCTATTAGCCAACAAGCTCCTTGATTGTGATCCAAATACTCCTCTTTACGTCATGTCTGGTTGGGATGTAGATATGGTAACGAGAGCAAAGGGCTGGGCCGGTTATCTCGAGCAACGAACTGGTGTCCATGGCCGCTCCTGGCTGACACAACGAGGGTATCTCCTTATCGATGAGGCCCAACAATCGTATTGGGACGTCGCGCTATGGGCGGATCTGTTCAAAGCTGTTGACCCATCATCTCAACCTTACATTGTACTGTTCATGTCTTACGGCTCTCCAGATAGGGGCTTTTCGGGTTTCGAGCGAAAATATATGGCGACGCCAATGATTTTCGGTGAGGGACAGGAAATATCACTTAGGCCCGATATCAATATCCAATCACCTTGGAAACCTGTTGGTTTGTTAATGGAGGAAAATGAAGCCATTCAAGTTATTGAAAGATGTGCGCCACAAGTCATACCAGACTGTGGGCCTCTTCTGACGCCAGCTTTGAAGCGAGGCTTGTTCAAAAGCAGCAGTGGACATGTAGGGCTCATTAAATCTCTGGTCCTAGCTCTGAGGTCCCTACCGGTTAGCTTTATCCTAAAGTCGATGTTTCGCCGGTCTGTTTACTAAAATTAAGGCTGTTTACAACAGGTACTCTCCAAAGAAGTGCGAAACCGCAGACCGCTAGAGTGGCAAACAATCAGCACAGCCTTTTTCAGTGACCCAATGGGGTTTTTTCGATGTCTTCGAAGTCTCCCATTCTCCAGAGGTCTGCCCCCAGCACGGATCCTTCAAATACCTAATGTCGCCGCTGTTCTTAAGGCAGCCATTGCTTCTGATGGGATCCTCACATCCAGCTTCGCGGGTACATCTAAGGAGGCACAAGAAGGTCTCGAACATATCTTAGCCAACGGATGGCTTCATGCAGAGATTTGCGACGGAGGAGAGCGATACATATTCGCAAGTCAAATTCACCGTTGGTAGGTGGGGAGCCTATAGGAGTACTTTGGGCTGCTTTCTAATCCGAGAGTCTAGGTATTGCCAGTGTCTTTTCTCCGAGAAACGTCCTGATAACCAACTTGAATACGACACTCCTTTACAGTTAGCGCTCGACGTTATCAGAGGATTTCAGCCATGTCAGCTAGCACATGCGCCTCGTTCATTAGCAGGTAGTTCCCGACCACTGGAAGACCAGTATCAGAAGGAATTCTATCGCTGTCTCTTCCCTTTACTGGATGGGCATGTTGTCGTGTCTCCCGAGTTCGTGGTTCAGTCGGATATTAAAGGTGGAACAATTGACTTCCTTATTACCCAGAAGAAGTGGGGATTGGAACTCCTCAGAGAACGTGACCGGCTGCAAGAGCACATGGACAGGTTCAAGCCAAATGGACAATATTACACCCTGATCGAAAAAGGCCGGATGGACTACTATATTGTTCTCGACTTCACCACTACAATGCCTCGAAAACCCAATCCAGGTAGTTCCACCCTCGTCTCCTTATGACATAACTGACACATTTACTAGAGTTCCAGAACCGTTTATACCACATTGTATTCTCGAAAACATATCGGGATGTCTCAGTGATTAATGGATGGGATCTTCGAGTAGTTGACGCCTTTGTCTTGATGGAGAACAAAATTAGACGCTATGACTAGTAGCTAAAAAGCTTTTGAAGCGTCATTCATAATTTTTTAGTGGATCATAGCTTCAATATCTATGAGCCGCACAGGGCAATGTCAAGCATCATTGACGCGCTTTCCCAATTGATACGCTTTGCTTTATCCAGTGTTTCACCGTCACCGTAGAGTACGTAGTATAGTACGCAACTATCTTACTCGACAAACCCAACTGCTCATCCAATGGTCAACTCCTCATGTGAGATCTCTACTTGTTCAATTTTCCCATGCTAATATCGCTCCCTTTATACCGCTAGCAGGAGTTAGGGCAAGAGGGGTACAGAGACTCTGCATAGCTACTAAAGGGAGACGCTACCGCCACGAGAGCCAGGCTTCCTCCACACCAACCTGGCTCATGCCATACCCTACCACCTACCTCACAAAGTAAGACACCTTCCTTATGATGAAAGGCTCGCTTTGATAGCTGGCAAGTGTAATAGGGATATTCGACTGCCTCAGGCAGTTTACTTGTGAATTAAACAGGCGGTGAAAACAGAACAAAAAAAAAAAAAAAAAAAAAAAAAAAAGAGTAAAAGACCTTTACCTTCTAAGATAGGCAGGAGCGAAGGCTGGCTCTCGTGGCGGTAGCGCCTTTCCTACTAATTCGCTTCACCTTAAGAACGCAGCCGGTATAAACTGCCACGCAACGAGCCATAGAGTGTTCAGGGTGCGAAGGATACTGCTAGTGATATAATGACGTCGATGAACGAGGAGTCTTTCGTGGATTTCCGGATATCGTGGAGTTCACCGAGATAAGCGGCGCTAGCAGCCGCCCACCAACGAGCCCGGTTGGATGCTTAGGAGTTAGGAGAGTGAAATGGACTTCCGACTTCCAACACCATCATAAACTAGTTCAAGCCAGCTTCTGCACTTCGCAAATCGCGAACATATCCGCCCACCATCATTAATGCTGCCGTTCCTCCTCTCTGAAACAAGGTTTTAGGTTCTAAAGCCAGACGCTATTATTATCTCTGGCCCCGAGACTACTTCCCCCATCTCCTGCACCGCAGCCCCCATTATTCCCCCCCCCCTCCCCCTTTGCATTGGTGTCTCTTGGTTGGCACTGGAACAGACAATCTGGCGTCCAGGTCACCAGGCTGCTTTGAGATTTTGGATCCATGATTCAAGGTTTCAGCTCCAAAGATGCTTATAATTAGGTGATTCGACGCAGTGGAGCAGCGCAGGCTTACTTCAGTCCCGGGATCGTGACAGTACTCTGCTCTCAGCATTTTCACGCTCCTCATTACCTCATGGCCTAATAATAATTAACTTTTTTTTTTGCTCTACATATATCATCGCTATCAGATCCGTATGTGTTTGTGCCTCAACTTGTTCTCTCCGTTGTCCCTATAGGCTTGATGCTTGAGCGTAGTTTGTCAAGTACTAACTTTCACTTCTAGTTCCATTTTAGATTCTGGCTGCGTTCTGATATCGCCAGTTGGCACGCTTTGTTTCAACTTCGACTTGGATGTCGGAAGTTGGCCGCTCGTTTTTATGTAACCGAAGACACGCTGCCGGATACAGCTAGATTCCTTTATCGCACCATTGCCAAGGCAGCCGGCAATAACTTCAGTCGGTATCTGTTCGTGGATGCGCCTCGCTATCGCACTTTCTACAGGATTTTCGTTTCAGGGTCGAAAGCATAACGAGACGGCTATCTGGCGAAGCACAGTAAAGGCTGCTGGTGTTTGGACAGTCTTCAACAGTT